AGAAGTAAATTTATATCACTATTCTAAAAATTCCCACCTAGCGCCGGCTAGGCCCTTCTTAGGCGCTAGGCGGATGGCCACAGCCCCGATTAATGCCTAGACGTTTGAAAATTAAGAAATGGCGCCTAGACCTACTAAGGCATTCGCCTAGCCCGCCCAAACCCGCCTAGGTTGCGACTCACTTAGATAAAAAATAGATAACTTTCATTTTGCATTTTATTTTTTTAACAAATTATAAGGAATTTGTTGGATACTTAAATGAACACACATTATATGCTTGTTCACCATGTTTTCATTACGTTCCAATACTTCATAATATATATGTCTTTCTATTTTATAGGTTATGACTGAAATTATATATATATTTTAAGTATAAACAAACACTTATTTTAAACGAAATATAATAGATTTACTTAAATCCGCCTAGGTGCCAGCCTAGATCCCGCCTAGCCGCCTAAACGCTAGGCCCAGCCCGCCACCCGACTACCGCCTAGCGTCTTTTAGAACCTTGATTTATATTATATCATTTAATTTGTCAATAAGTTCATATTCTCATCAAAAGTTTGTTTTAGAAAGTTGCTTCTCAAGGAATGCAAAGAAGACTCTCTCAAAATTAGAATTTTTTATGAATTATTTGTCACCTCACAGTTTATCGTCAATTTTCGTACCAATATTATAAATTATTATGCCAAAAACCTGAGAGAGTCCCATTAGCGTTTTCTAAGTATAGTATATGTGCATGAGGAAAAGAATTTGTATGCAACGGAATGTTTTTGTTTATTTCTCGTTTTATGTTAGAGAGAGGAAAAAAAACAAAAAAAAAGGTATCTAATACGGTGTAAATAAGTTTTTCTTGCATGAGCAACAAGACATCGTACGTTACTAGGAGGAGCTGAAAGCTTTGAAATTAAGGGAGTTGCAATGACTTGACAAAGGCTGAGAAAAAGAAAGAAAATTGGCCATGTATTCTAATTAAACACTGTGACTAAAAGGACCAAAATTCGACGTCAAGCTTTTGAGTTTGAGAATTGTAATATGGACTGGCATTTTTTCCCTCTGGTGAAATCACGAGTAAGGAGATTGAGACTCTTGAGAGAATGGGGGACTGGGCATGAAGAGAGTGAGAAGCCAGAAAGTTGATACGAAAAAAAAGAAGAAAGAACTTACGAAGATATCCAATGAATGTTGTTGATATGTCAACTATATTTGGTAGATATCACTGATACAATATCAGTATTTGGTATCAATACAACGTTGCATATATGACATTAATGTTCGATTGCAATATAGTATAGGCGAGTCCTTCTGTGAATTGTAACGAGTCACTTTTGACTCGTTCATACTGTATGCTTGTTTTAATGTTTCATCTGTTAAACGACACCTACAAGCCCTTGCACAAAACTTACACTTTATAAATGCTTCTTAAATATATAAATTCAAGTCGCTCTGCGTATTATAACGGAAACTACACCTAAAAGCCCCCCACAAACCCTATGCACTAATCTCACTCTTTGTATACGCTCCTAAAAAGTACATAAAGATCAGTAAATTAAATAAGCTAATAAGATTTTGGTACATAAAAAGAAGAAAAAACAATCACAGTTCTCAATTTTTGAAATTCGAATATAAGTAGAATCACCGAGGAGGGACCCAATACGGTCGGAGACGATGCTGAATATTACACCACTTTTCACGAGGCAAACAGATCCAACAAAGATTCAACTGGTTCGATCCTCTAGCACACAATATATATTAGAGAAAAATATTAAAGAGACTCTCTTAAAATAAAATTTGAACATTCTGTCATTTCATGTTTTTGGCATAATTTTTATAATGTTGGAATGAGAATTATGCAAAAAATATAAGGTGACGGAGAGTTCATAAAGACTCCAATTTTGAGAAAATCTCCTTATCATTTCTCTATATTCATCATCGTTTATTTTAAACTTGAAAAAGGCATCGTTTTGGATACGTGTTATAATGAAAACAAACAAGCAACCTGCAGAGTTTGTTAAAGACTTTCGTTGAACACATGATGTACACAACTTGCCAACACGCTAGATGACCACAGGGTCATCCAAGGCGCTACACAACGGAAAGAGATCTTCTTCGGATCCCTTCCTCCTAATCTACAAAATCAGGTAATCTGTGTCATTGAAAATTGATCAAACGGCTGAAGTTATTATAACTTTTCAAGTGGACTCATGTTTGTAGCCGTTTGATCAAATTTCAATAACACGGATTTCCTGATTTTGTGAATTAGGAAGAAAGGATCCGAAAAGGATCCCTTTCCCTACACAACCATCTTTCCGGTGTCCATGGGGTCAACTGACCTAGTTTGACCCCTAGTGGATTCTCCCTTCGTTGTGATTGAACTCGAATTATGAAAAAAAACAATTGCAACCATACATACATTGGATCGAATCTTCGTATAATGCTAATGTGGAACAATTCAAACATCACAAAAGACATTTAAATAACAAACGAATCATCATGCATTAGTGACCATTTTCATAAATTTTATAAACCAGCAAGCTCCAAAAATATTGTGACATAATAAGTACGAAGGATCAAAGTTGCAACTTTTTTTCTTTCTAATTTCTTATTTGCAATAGATAGGACAAAGTTTATTATTTTCAATACTATTGGCGGATCGAACATGAAACTCATCCTCTCTAAAGTTAAACTTAAAAAGGTCTATACCTGCAAAACAATTCGAACAACACCACAAAATTGGGGAAAAAAGAATGTAAGATAAACAGATATGTCAAGATACACATTAATTTGAGAAGCAGAAGCCATGCAAACCAACATAGTTCGAAAACAAAACAGCACGAGTCACATGCGAATGATAAGGTTTATGTCCCCTTTATTTTTCATGTATTTTTTTCTTTATTTTATAAGGGATAAGATGGATTTTCGTATTTATATGAGGCTTACACTCCCGAAGTTTTAAAACAAAAACTATTGGTGGGTGTGGAATCTGTGGATCCAAATAGTCTCAGAAATCTTCGTGCTCTTCAATCAAAGAGAACCAAGATCTGCATGGGTCCCCGGTGTCGTAGACAAGATGACAGATTTGTTTAGGAAAGAAAGAAAATGATATGCAATATAATATAATTTAAAAAAAAAAGAAACAAAACTTTGATCCAATCTCTGCACTCTATTGAAAATTTTAGGAAAGAAAGGAAAATTTTATGATACAGTATCCAGTCACTGTATTGTTACGTGTTGATAATACGACGAAATGTAAAAGTCTTCTGTTGGGCACATTTACATTATTTGCACGAAACGTCACGAAAGCGATTAATCTGCTACTAGCTCTCCCTTTGTTAAAGCTAAAGACATAGAAACTAAAAATTAGAAATAAATCTAATGACCTTTTTAAAAGGACCAGAAACATGATGAGACACCATCATCATCTTCAACGGTCTTCTCAAGAATTCGAATGGTTTCCATTTCTAAGAAGAAGATGCTTTGATTCCAAATTCCAATGAACATTATGAATTCTCAGGACATCTCCACCAAGAGCTACAGGTTATATCCAATCTTAAAATTGATAAAAGAGTAATACTAGGAAGATTAAATTTGTAAATTAAATAATGTTTCATCAATAGGAAATGAACATGTTTATCAACGTTTAAGTAATAATCCAAGTATCAACTTCCATGTTATTTAGTTTATAAAATTTAGTCTCCCTAGCATTACTCTTGATAAAATCAATCTCTTACTATAGAGCTAAAAAGAATCGTGCTAAAATAATTATGCTAAGTTTTTTAGCTTCAGGGTAGACAATATATAGTCTCAGAACAGACTAAGTTTGATCGTGAAAAGTAATAAAATGTGAAGAAAAATAAAATATAGTTATGTATGGTTGAAAATGGAAAATTTAGCCTTAAAGTAGCATTTAAAATATTAATTTTTGAAAGGTTAAATTATAACCAAGGGCTATGTTTAGCCCTCTATGATCGGAGATTACCTGATAAAAATAAGTGTCATAATTTCACTAGAGAACTGTTATTAGCACTCTAAAAATTTCATACTACACTCCTCATAAGTGTATTTTTCTTTCTAATTACAGAAAGTTTGGAGTGCAAAATGAGATTTTTGGAGTGCCAATAACAATTCCCTTTCACTATTACCAACTTGCAATTAATATAGATCTACGCAAATTTGCATATAACATGTCTTTAGTTGGCTAAGATCTTATTCATGTTTACATAAGACAATTAATTAAGAAAAGGCTAATGCTACATAGATCAACTTTGTAAATCATATGACGTAGTTATTGATGATTGACTTATTATTTAATTGTTAATTAACGTGTTTATTTCTTATTATTTACACATTATATGATTTGTAAACTTGGTCTAAAAGTTTGTCTACCTAGCATGAAAATGAAAGTCACAACTTCAGTGGTCGAATACTTACTTGATGATCATAATATACAAAATTTGGTACTCTTTTTCTTTATCTTTTTAATAGTAAATTTACGTCTTCTCATCAAGTTGAAACCAAACTTTCATGTTCAAATGTAGCTCTCTTAAATTACTCTGTGTTGTTGGTAACTATTTTCATTCAACAAATTAAATCTTTCAGGTCTGAGTATGGTTTAGCTCTTAAAGAATATAATAACTTGTATATAATGTATTTTGTATTTCACTTCTTTATGCATCTCTCATCACGTGATGATCAGTCAATCACATAATAAGAGTTCTATAACAAACAGTACAAAACCGTTATAACTATAACATTTTCCCCACCACCAAAGTGGATCATGAAAAGTTGAAAGCTGCTATAATGTACTAAATTAGAACAAATAATACGATTTTACGAGTTAGATTGAGCACATAATATATGGTTACAAGAACATATTTTGTGTTACACTTAGAATGGCACATTTGTTATTTCCATCAAGTAGGAGGTCAAATTACAAAGATGGAAGATAAAGTAAAATTTGAAAAACGGGTGGCCGTTGGCCCTTTTGAACTTGGAAGGAAGAAGTTGGAACTTCAAAAACAGCAACCCCTTCTTCGATGCGAAACCAACAAATGCATTAAAAGTTTAAACCCTTCCATCCACGCTCAGATTTAAACTCTCTCTCTCTCTCTCTCTCTCTCTCTCTCTCCTCACTACCAACAGAGGATGACAGGGCTTGTGATGGTGACAAGGGGCGGCGGGTGCGGCGGTGGAAATGAAAAAGGAGCAGCAAAGGGAAGCAGTAAGAGCTCAGAGCTTGAAGATAAAAATCAAAACCAGCTCTCTCTAGTAGCAGTTCTCTTAGCTGCTATAAGGAAATCCATGGTGGCCTGCCATGTCGAGCGAGGCGGTGAAGAACTCATGTCCGCCGTCCAACAAATGGAGATCGGGTGGCCCTCGAACGTCCGCCACATTACCCATGTCACATTCGACCGATTCAACGGCTTTCTGGGTCTTCCTGTCGAGTTCGAGGTTGAGATTCCGGGTCGAGTTCCGAGTGCTAGGTGAGTAAAAAGTTCAAATTTTTGCTTCCTGGGTAGTCTTAGATTTATGAAATTCATTTCGGGTTTTGCTTAGAATGCTTGAATTACTGTTATTTAGGCTGTTTCTGAATCTCCAAGAGATTTTTTTTTTTTTTTTTTAATTTTATACCAGCGATAGTATAATTTAAACTGATATAACTTCATGCAAAGGAAGCATTTGCTCTAGTTAATGTGGCTACGCCAACGTCTGCAAAATCTTTGAGAGTTAAAACTAAGCTGCTTGATGAGTGTGGATTTATGAGGGTGAACTGCATTTGAACTTATTTATCTCTTTAAGCTCCTAACATGGGATTTATGAGGTTGAAATTTGCTTATCACTGTATGTTTGGTTGCTGAGTAAGTGCCTAGAAGTTGAATTTAGGTTAATATTGGAGATTAGATGCTCTAATTGGTTCATTTTCCTATGTTTTTATGTGTAATTTAACTTGTAAATTCATATACTTTTGCAGTGCAAGCGTTTTCGGTGTCTCAGTGGACTCGATGCAGTTGTCTTTTGATTTGAAAGGAAATAGTGTTCCTACTATTCTCTTGCTGATGCAGGAGAGATTATACTCACAAGGAGGATTGAAGGTATAAGTTGTTTTCGTTCCGAACTTTCAATATCAATGCCATCTTTTGTGTGCATTTGTGAATCTCTTTCATTTGAGTTCTTGTTTCCATATCAGTCTGCTAACTAGTCCTTTTGGAAGTTTTGCAGGCAGAAGGAATATTTCGTATAAACCCCGAGAACAGCCAAGAGGAGATTGTGAGAAGCCAACTGAACCGGGGCATGGTGCCGGATGATGTTGATGTTCATTGCTTGTCAGGTCTGATTAAGGCCTGGTTTCGAGAGCTTCCTTCCGGGGTGCTAGATGGACTGTCCCCCGAACAAGTTCTTCAATGCGAAACAGAAGAGGATTATGTCGAGCTTGTGAAGCAGCTGAAGCCAACTGAGGCTGCATTGCTCAATTGGGCTGTTGATCTGATGGCTGATGTTGTCGAAGAAGAAGAGTTCAACAAAATGAACCCTCGAAACATCGCCATGGTTTTCTCTCCAAACATGACTCAGGTAATCTAAAAAAGCCCCCAAAAACAATTCGTTAATCCAGCATTTTTGAACAATTAAGATTGAGTGGATAATTTCTTTTTGAACACTTTTTCTCTAGCAGATGTCGGATCCTCTGACGGCTTTGATGCATGCTGTTCAAGTTATGAATTTGCTTAAGACCCTGATCATGAAAACGCTAAGAGAGCGTGAAGAGACCGATACTGGATCCTATTCGCCAATGTCATCTCGTTCGTCTGATCATCTAACGGATGAAGACTTCGATAGCCAGCAAGAGATGGAAAGTAGCTCTGAGTTGAGTGGACCAACATCAGATTGTGATGAAAACACCCACAACAGCCGCAGAAGCGAAAATGGAGATGAAACTCGGTCACTAAGTGAGATAGAAGAATGCTTTTTGAGACAATTGGATGAGATTAAAACTGTCACAAGTAGTTTGGTAATGTTCGATCAACCAACAGGTGAGCTGGATGGGGAGTGTCAGAGTCCTCAAAGTTGCTCGGGCTTCAACGCAGAATCCAGCACATCATTTTCTGATAGCAATGATGTGAATTCGGGTATTAGCTCAAGCGAAGGGGACGAGATCTCAAGAAAATGTATGATATCTGAGGAAGAACAGGACATAGACGCAGAGAGCTCTTCAACAGCCTGTGTAAACACGGATGAAATGGAGGTGGAGACCAAATTCATAGAGCATGTTTCGGCTTCACCTACTCCGTTTGTGGCGTCCAGTGGATCAATCTGACCAACGTTCCAATTTTCCGGTGCTTTCTCCGCGGATTTTAGGTTTCGTGCTTACGGCGTTGTTTGCTTTGTGTAAATGTGTGTGATGGTTTGTGAGAGGATTTAGTTGAACCAAGCAAACTAGGGAATGTTTGCCTTGTGGTTGTTTTGTGGCTTGTGAGCTATCAGGGTTCAGCTTTGGGCTGAACTTATTATGGTTTGGTTTGTATTAGGATTAGGACGTCTAACCTTAAACATTTCATTAGAATGTTAGTGGTAATCTCCAACATGCGAAAAAACATCGCTCGAACTTGAAAATTTGATTTGTTATCTGTATCCTTTCTGCATTCTCTGCGTAACAGCATTCAAAACCTTTGATCCCTGCAAGTGATGTTCTTTATGCATTATGAAACCCGAGATCAATTCTTGTTGCAACTGAGGATTGCGGGAAAGATTTTAAGGAAGCTCGAACAAACAAAATATAACGGATTCATTTTCAAAAATGTCGAGATACAGTTGATCTCACTGCATTAATTTCTACATTTTGTATCAGAAGATGCACAGCTGGAGTTCCATATGGTATAAAACTTACAACAAAATGAAACATAAAGTATACATTGGGACGACATAGTCAGAATTCATCGTTGGGCCTCGGTAGATGCACCAATCGTTAAGCATAGAAAGCTGGTGGGATCGAGCATCGAGCTGAAGCACCATGAAGCTTTGCTAGCTGCAGATATCAAACTACAGACGACAGCCAGAAATCCACGTCAAATCATCTATTCACGATTCAATAGACCCCCATACATTGTCATTTCAAAATTTCAGTAGAGGATTCAACAGAAGGGGGCAGAAAGTTACTGAGTATAGCAGGACAGATACAGAGGTCCACATCCAAGCATGATGACACTTCAAGAGGTTTACAAGCCTACGAGCATTCAAAACTGTTAATGTCGGTTCTTTGATCGCATCAACCAAGATCTGGTTACAGCTGAAGAACCCAGTTGGATAGATAGACTAGATTAGATTTAAGCAGAAAAGATATGTAAAATGATCATGAAATAATTACAGCCGTCTACTTCATATGGCATACCAATGTCAGGATTAACTACATAATTACCTGATTTATATGCTTGGTTAGATTTGAACATAAAGCACACCAGCGTGATTTTGGCCGACTTTAACAACATCAACAAATAATTAAATTCACGACAGACTGACAAATGATCTCAATCCAGTTTCTTCGACATATACCTTCACCCAAAGCAACTTAATTCCAATTTGCTCATCCTGAACCCTACTCAATATTCAATCCAAGTGGATCTAAGTTTCTGCATTCTTATTATTCCTTTCCAAAGTCTTAAACTTGAAGAAGTAATCCATTGCAAGTTATTTGTCAACCCACAGCATGCAACAAGTCAATCGTTATATCTATATAAAACCACGACTCCTGACTACGTAGATCACGGAACAATACATTCAAGAGACTTGGCATGAAAGGGTACAACAGCAGTAAACGAGAGAGAGAGAGAGAGAGAGATGATGTCCCATAACACAAGATAAAGAGTTCTTCTTTGGAAAAATAATAATAGTCAAGTCAATCAAAACTTCAAAAGGAATTAATGATGTGTCCAAGGTTATGGCATACCTTTATCAGCGACAAATCTGGACTGTAATACTGGTGCCACAAAGTCTTTCATCTGCCCCTAAAAACGCCTCAATCTTACCTGGTAATTCGATAGTTAATAGAAAAGGAGCAAAAACTGAGAACACAGCTGCAGAGTCTACATTTACCCTACAACAACAGCGATGTTTAAGCAGTTTAGTACTCTTGAATGCAGCTAAGAAGAGACATAAACATGCTCAAACTTCAGTCCAACGTACCTACATCTGCAACAAAATGAGCCCAGGGAAATCTCCAACATTTCAAAACATATTACCGGATGAAACTTGGAAAAGAACATCTTAAATCACAAGCATTGCAGCAGTAAAGGCCATGAAATATTTAACTATAGGGAGACAAGTATATATTAATTGGTACACTACAAACTTATGTATTCGACTTTCTACATAAATGGAAAATAATGATTAGCAAGTGCTCCTAAACAGCAAATATGGAAAACAAACACCCAAAGAGGCAAAGAAGAACACGGAATAGCATCTACATATAAATCAAATGCACAACATTCAAATGATAATTCAGAAATGGCATAGACAACCACTCTACCTAACATGTGATTCCGGCATGCCTAAACAACACACATTTTCAGATAGAAGAATGCTTGTTCATTAGCTACGTCAACACATGCCACATAATTTGGAAAATAACCTCTAATAACGAGAATGCATATGAGGTAGCAAGGTTTACATTTAATTAAGTCACCAGAATACAGCAAATGAGATTAGAAATAAATGAAAATGCGAAATAATGTCTGTGAACTGTGAAACAAAAGAATCAGAGATGAAGTATACAGCCAGATGTTCATGAGGGGAAGAATGAATAAATTGATAGTTACTGCCTAAATGAACTTTCATGATACCCAAATTACAGATTGTATTGGCACAGTATGCACCACGAATTACAAGTTTGAGGGCTTTCATTCCCTTGAGGAAGTTACAAAAAGGATGGAATAACCAATATAATTGCAGATCAGCTAAATCCACCCTACGATGTTGATGAAGTGACTCCCATACATCCGGTTTGCATAAGACCAGAGGACTCGTGTCCTTGCAGTAACTCACCTTCAAATCAATATGGTTTGTTCTGTTTGTTGTCTCTCTTAAGCTGAACCTTTAATTTCTTTCCCCCTAATTGGCATCCATTCATCATATTGATAGCAGATTCAGCAGACTCTGGTAAATCGTAGCTTACAAATCCTGAAAACAAAGACCGATTAGAGGTAAAGATTTTCACATAGCTCACATGGCAATCAAAAGTAAGTAGAGAATATTCTCACCAAAACATTTGCTGACGCCAGTTGCTTTATCGACAAAAACCTTGGCACTCAAAACCCTACCAAATGGTTGAAAAGCATTGGCAAGCTCTTGATCTCCAAATTCTTGAGGTATGTGATAGATAAACAAATTAGCACCAGGTGGACCTAATCAAAGAAGATAAGAAAAACTGAAAAAATAACACCACCAAGAACTTTATTTTTAATTTGAAAAATATAAATATACATGTAGATAACTACCTTCAACCTGACCCCCAGAACTTTTACTAGTGCCTGGCGATGTTGCTGGGTTAATATTCACAACTGTAGGTGACACTGAACCAGGGGAACTCAATGGCTGGTGGCTCATTATTCCTCCAGGATACACCATCGGATGCCGAAGACCTGGAACTGCAGGATAAGCAGAGCCCACATAACTCGTAGGAGACATAGGAAAATTTCTAGGGGCAATATTGCGGGGCGGGATTCTATGCAAAGCATTTCCTTGGTTTATGGGTGGGATCATATTTTGGAAACCTTGTTGATTCTGCAGTCCAGGTAGGCGATATGGCATGAGTCCATAAGTCCCAGAAGCCTATAAAGGAAATGAAATGACATTACTCCACTACTATATACGACAATATATGGATAAAGTCAGGAACATATATAGGGTAGGTCATGACTCACACGTCAAAACAACTACAAAAGTGCTAATGGTTTCCTCACCATGAAAAAAGAAACAAAGTAAAAACGTAGTTTACAAAGACATAATTGTTGAAGAAAAAAAACACTGACCTGATAACCATAACCATTATATGAGGGAACATAACCCATAGGTAAGGCTCCAAATAATGAAGGATGTTGTGAATCACCATTTGGCCCGTTAGCAGCCTGGGAATAAGCTTTCTGAGCTCTCCGAGCTAGCCTTTCCTTTTCTGTGTCTGCCCATTTGACAACTAAAGGAACACTTGAACCCTGATAAACAAGCCATAAGAGTGGGTTAGAGCCTTGTATCAATAGATCCATGCTACTTCCAAGTCGTCATTATCATAAGCAAATGTCAAGAACAAATTCAAATAAATGCATCAATGAGTAAGCATACAAGCCTTTAATTAACTTGATACACTAGGATAATTAGACAAAGTCTTTGGTGGCTGACTTATCATCCATCATTATGGACCCCATCTATCAGTTACCCAAAAAAAATGTGTTTCTCCCAATGAAAGAAAATGGAGATATCCAATGCTACAGGCATATTAAAAGCTTTCAATATACATTTCCAGCCACCAAAATATGTATAGTCACACAAACCTCCATCTTATGCTTTCCGTTGATGGCTTCAAGGGCAGCAAGAGCTTGGTCTTTTGTCTCATACTTTAAGAATGCACAGCCTGCCAAAAGAAGGGGACATGGAAAATTCATTTATTAGTTGAGAATCCGTATATTTAGTGGTTCCTTATGTGGGAGGGGTGGGACTTACCTTTGCTCGTTTGCTGAGAACCTCTTAATATCTGTAGGTCCTTAACTGTCCCATATTTAGAGAAAAGATCAGAGACTTCAACTTCGGAAACATTCTTTGGAAGCATACCAATAAAGAGCTTGTGTTCTGGATTGCAGGGGAGGGCAACGATTATTAATCAGGGTCCGTACATAATACCAAATATACAAATGGGATGAACAAAAAAAAATACCAATAAGCATTGTTTCAACAAAACTTCATAGGAAGAAGACAAATCACTAATTAAATCATACCTAGTCTTTCCAGCTCGCCATCAGCATACTTCACTTGCAACGGACTAGATGCCTGGATTAAACAGAAAGAACAGGGTAGCTTCCAATCAGACTGAGAATAAAAACACACGAAGAGGAAGTAAAAGCACAAACTGTGAAAAGTTAGCACCAGTCTAGGGATAGCGGACAGCCAACAAAGTTTTATTTGACTTTATGTTTTTCATCAAGTAATACAAGTTTAAAGTCGCATTAGCAGGCATAGGCAAGAGCCCAGCTGAGAATCTTGCAGGGTAAACACTTGAAGGTCCAGCAAGGCCTACATTGGCTCTCCCAATCGATCTAAGACCTATGCCAGGAAAATGCTAAGTTGCATAAGCACACATTTTATATAAAGTTGTCCAATCAATCTGCCAATCATGCATTCCAGTGGATCTACTGTACCAAAAGAAGATTGCCTGCAATGTCAGCCAAATTCAATGTTTTACTTACATCATCTAACCCTGGTCACTGATATTCATAACTTCTGGAACAAACATGCAACCTTCTTCATTTAACTATTTTGTAAATTGATACCATAACCATATTTAAGCTTGCCTCAACTGTATCATATTCTAACCCCAAAACCCCAATTTTATTTTGTGGGGTAGCCAATTTCTCATGCATGGTCATGCTCTGATACTCTCTACTTTTAGTAGACGTGGGCTAATCTGCATTACCATATGCAAGTTACAACACGCATTTCATCAACTCCATCCTACACACTCTCTTGGGATTGGCAACATGTCCATTTCGCACCTAAAGTGAATTTGCTAGCCCTCTGCAAATCCCAAAAGGAGCCTATTCCAATTTAACTAGGAAAAAAACAAAGGAACTTTTCCTATGGGAGATTAATTGCAGAACCATTAGGTCACAAGTGTCAACATTGTCAATTTGAGACAGTGGATATAGTTTAGTTACTGTTAAAAGTTCAAATAACCGTGATCTGCGATCGACAAATAGTCAAACACTACGCAGCTATTCTTCCTACTATTAATTGAATACAGTTTCCAGTGACTTGGGAAATCATCTAATCATATTTTACCAGCCCAGATTCGAATCACATTCTCCGAAATTCGAAGCTGCGAGCCTACAAACTAAAACAACAAACGAAGCACACTTAAGGACAGTGGACAGAGCTGCAAATTGCACTAACCCCAGGCAAAGTCGTCTTGTTATGACACGCATTGACCGCTTTGTCCGCCTCCTCCCTCGACGGACATATCACAAAGCAGCACCCTGCACGCACACACACACACAAATCCGAGCAGCGAAATTAGGGTTTCAACTACCAATTCAGCCACTCGAAACGCCACAAATCCTCTAAATCGCGAAAAACACACACATTAACCAAATCAAGATACACACATTTTTCAACTGAGAGCCAAATCGTGAAGTAAGACAGAGAATGTAGAGAGAGAGAGAGAGAAGAGAGAGATTTGAGACCTCTGGAAGCGCGCGTGGCCTTGTCCTTGATGATGTTGACTTCGTCGACGAGAGCGAACTCTTCGAACATTGCGAGGAGCTGAGCCTCCGTCATGTGCTTCGGCACTTGGCCGACGAACAGCTTCACGCTGTCTTCGCCGTGCGAGTTCCTCTCCTTCTTCCCTCCGTCCGCCATTAATGCCTGCCTTCTCCCTCTGTCTTCGACTTTCTCTCTCTAACTTCTCCGGTTTCTTTGTTTTGTGTATGTCTCTCTCTAAGATTTTCTCTCTCTAGATTTTCTCTTCCTGTGTGAAAAGGATTTGTTTTTTTCTTTTTTTTTTTTTTCTTGCGTGGAGTCGTCGAGGGAAAAATTGGACATCTCCAGGATGGCGAAGTTGGATCTTCGTTAGATTTATTGCGATTCGAATTTACCCGCGCGTTTATGGTTTATTTACGGGATTGCCACCTCAGAGCTGTTATTGTGTTTCATTGAACTTACCTTTGTACCCTTTGCATTATTTGTCCGAAGCAAGAATTGCTTTTCGAGAGAACGGGTTGGTCAACCACATAATTAGATTGCTACTCTGAAATATTTCTCATAAAGAATAAATATAACAACTTTTATCACAATAATAAGAAAAATAAATGGTAGTATTAGTGTATGACCACTAGCTAATCAATTTGCCGTATTGAAAATTTTCTTCTACTAAGAGTCCAAATTTTTTTACTGTACTCAGATATTGCTAGATAATGTTATTATTTAAGAATACTCAAATAATATTGCATTTATTTGACAGGTCCCTCACGTGTCCCTAAACTCGTTTCATACAAATTATTTTCCAATTACAAGTTTTTTTTCATGTACCCTGAACTAAAGAAATATTGGAAAATATAACATTTTGTATATATATTTCTTTTCCTAAGAACATGTAGACACCTTTTCAAAGACAGAAACATGGTCCTAACATGCTAATTATATTCCAAAGAAAAAAATTATAAATTCCACATGCCAATGTCCATCTATGTTTTGGCCCCTTCATGTTTCACCTTTTCTTGTATTATGTCCAATTCCAGACATTTCCGGAATCATATGCAGAACATGAAAGGTATCGTGTGTGTTCAAGCACATGCTCATGACATTGCTTAAAATGAATAATTGATCGTAATAAGTCATAGTTCAAACTTACATTATTATTTGAGGAACAGATCACTGTCTGTATGGTTAACATATGAAATAAATGGACTTTTGCATTTTTTTTTCATAGAAAACCATCTCGTGGTCCCACCCATGTCATGAATGCCACATACGAGCGACCATATAAAATAATCTATTGTAAGTATGTTCATGTCACTTGGATCATATGCTTTGTCACAATGTGTCAATTACTACTTCAATTGAGATTTTAATCTATAATTTCGTTCAAAAAATTATGAGTGATCCACATGTTACCATGTTAGAAAGTATATTGATGTTTGAAGTATCAGTATTATGTTAACGATCAACGCGTAAAATCTATGAAATATTAAATTAACAATAAAATTTTTGGGTTAGCTGCGTATTGAGTCGCTGACTAAATGAGAGAAAGGTCGTTTTCGCAAAGGAGTACCGGCATTTTGCCGTGTTTTGAAAGAAAATGGGTGGTGAGAATTTAGCAAGGCAAGGGGTAGGATGATAAATAAAGAATGAAGGATGGGGAGGGTAGTTTGGACCAAAAGAAAAAGGGTGGGAGTGTAGTTTAGCTTGGAAACGGTGGCAGAAGGATAAGCACGCCAGACTGTCCCGCCATATAGCTGCTTCTCCTCCAAGGCTCCAACGAGGAATCTAGATCCTCTTTGTTAAGATTCTGAATATCCGTCAATCATGTCTGTTCATCGTACATTATATGGTCAGTAATTATTTTAAATATTTTTATTTAAAATTAAATATAAACTAGTACTTGACAAAAACTGATTTTATGATATATTATAAATGGACACGATTCACGGATCCTCATGATCCTCCCAAAAGGATCAGAAGAGAGGATCCTGTTGGTCCAAAAGGTTGTCCAACAATTACATTACCACGTCACTATCTTAACGTTGCAAGTTGCAGGTGTTGCACTGCTAAGTGCTGACCGCTCTCCCTACGTTAAAACTGGCAAAATTCTGACCCACACTTAAAATTAGGCATGCATGGTTTTGGTTTTACTTCTTTCTACTCTTGCTAAAATATTTTTGATAAAGATTTTCATATCACATCATTCGTTCATTTGCAAGAGAATTTTACAGAAATAGACGTTAAGAACGTGAATTCAGATGTTCTCTTTGTGTGTATTTATCGAGAGATATTCTATGTAATTGAAAATAACATTTGATAAGTATTTATTAAACAGATCATGTATTTTTTGAACATGTAACAAACATATATTGAACTAAATCTCTCATTGTGTTGGAGTAGTTTTCTTATACATCCAACTTTTAGTCACAATGATATCACTGTTTAATAGACAATTGTCACTAACTGGTGACATGACTAGATTACTCCTTGCAAAAGACTTACTCCTTGAGTTGACATGTAACATGGCTAAGAAGTTTGTCTAAAGGAATGATTTGCATAAAACGGGTTCACCATGGACATATTGTTCGTGGCTCGTATTGAATGGCGAACTTGCTTAGCTGAACTACCCACTTCGGTACTCTTCTAGGCAAGTCGGTCTTGCCGATGATGCTCTTTAGCGTATATTTTGCGATCACTCTTATTGTATGCGCTGAGAATAGATCTGAATTAAACACAAATCGAAGCCTCCTTGTGAAATAGATAAGAGCAAGTGCAACTTTCTCTAGTTTAATAATACTATATCATATATAACTCTTTACGTTACATTGTATTGTTGAATTAAAATGTTACGATAATAGTGATTTCGTCTCTCAACCGTATAAGTTTATTTCTAAATTACTTCTTTTTTTCCTCGGACCAAAAGGGTAATTTCCTTTAAAGCAAAGAAAATATTTTTGATCAAAAGAGAGAAAGTATTTAAAAATATCCACTTTGGATAATGATTAGGAAAAATATTAATTGGACGACAACAAGAACCAGCTTACACGTTAGTGGGACCCGAATCCCTGCGTTCCACGTTGGAATATCTCCCCGGTCAAAATATGCTAAAAGCGAGCCCACGTAGACTTTATCCTCTATTTTCCAATAATTTGATAAGCTATACAACTTTGACGTCATTATCATGAAAATAACTTTAGTACACTCATACGTGTCGTCCGATATCAAGAAAATAAATATGTGTGAACAAAAAATTACACATGTCTTATTCATTTGCACGAAAACCACCGTAGCAATGTACTCATGTACATCTGAAAACAAGTTTGGGGGCAACCTGTTAATGAGTTGGGTTATTATTCGATCATTCATTAACAAGTGGATTGTTATCGTGTCACCGTAAGAACTGATAAAATATTGCTTGCCATATCTAGGCATTAGGCATGACACTTTCTTGCATGATCCGTTAATTCGTAACAATCCGTTAACAAATCAGATCATTATCAGGTCTATGTTAAGGACCTATTAAAAGAACAAATTTCACACGATATAATCCATTCAAATAACGGATATGACAAAAACGACCCGCAGCCTATACCCTTCCCACAAACTCCTTTTACCACAAAGGATGATGTATTGAAGCTACATGAGGGGCTGTTTCATGAACTCTCCCTAAAGTCAACATACAAGTTAGTTGTACCTAAATTTCTAATCGATGACTCTGCTAATCAAACACATGTATCTGGAGTTTAGTTTAAGCAGTAGATAGAAAGGGGAAAACGACGTGAGCGAAAAACTAATCATGCGAGTGATTGTACGTATCTGGAGTTTAGTTAAAAACTTGTACCGATGATAGAGCAAGGCGGAGGTTTCCTTGCTCCGAAAAAGAAAACAACCATGAAATGAATCACCATTTCTCTTATTGTCATACAATACCAATATATGAGCTCAACAGTTATTGTAGACGCTGTTCAACTGGATACAACCAGATTCGAGCGAAAAAATGTGGGAGGACGGTGCACGAAACAAGTAATTCCCTTCCTCTAAATGGGATTTGCAGGGAGTGTGATGTGAGTTATCTGTGACTTCGAAAGAATTCTCATTACGGCCAGAAGCGGGAGCGATTGCAGACTGCCAATCCCAAGGCTTAGATTGCGTTCAATCCGGCAAGCTCGCGCAACTTCTCGCAGAGTATGAAGGTGATTGTAGTTTGTGGACCCAGCCTTGCAAAAGTTGCAAGGCTCCTGAAAAGTTTTAACATCTTATTAGCAATGTAGGCACACAGACAGACGGTCTATAAGTTTCCGCTGTAGTTACTCAACGAACGCACCACTGATTCTATTAAACCTAAAGACTATAATATCGAAAAAGTATGAAGGCGTATCTGGAAAAGCATGAGTATTCGGCATTGAAGAGGCACTCACCCTTTGTAAAGACCCCTGGGACCTTCTGTAAGCATAACCTGGAACAACAAATAAATCACTTCGGATAAGAAATACGGGCAAGGTATACAACGAATCAATGTAAAAGCAAAAGAAGACACTAGAGAAGAAAGCACATATAATCTATACCTGGTACGCACAGTGGAACCCATTTTTGTAGTTTCCAGCCTTTTTAGATTCCTGTTGTAACATGAGACGGGTTTTTATCATGTCCACGGGTGCAGTTATGAGCGTACTCACCATGCCCGCAACTGTGCTTGAGCTACACAAGGTGCAAAATATACTTAGTTTTGATAAATATGTTTGATATTACTAAGAATTTCACACTTTTTATGACAGGTATATGGAACACCAAGTTAATCTACTTCGGTTGAAGAAATGGAGAGGCCATGGACAGACAAGAACATAGGCAACAGTGGCTTACATGAGATGAAGATGGAATCCTTCTTCGAGTGATGTCAACCTAATCAGTATCTGTATTCAAAAGAAGTTGGAACCAAATTTGAAGACAGACAGATTTGAAGAAAAATTAAAACAAACACTTTCATATTGCCAATCAAACATTAATGATTTAGAAACAGTGGAAATTACTTCGTGGTTAGAACTTGACCCGCTTGGTTTCATCATATGTTGCTAGTTGTGATGCAGTCAACGTAGCAGCTCTGGCCATAGCAGGGCCAACCCCCTTCCAAAGAGCTTTCACTCCCTCTTCGGTAACAATTCTACACAGTTCTCCCGCTGGACTCAAGTTTGGATTCATCTGTAACCGCACCTAATGGAAGGAAGCAAATGAAATGATCTTGAAGTCAAGTCTCAAGAAATAGAAAGCAAAAAGTTCAAAAAGGCCCTGCACTGTGGCATTACCTTCAACACCTCAACTGGATTCGTCAACGCAGTTGCAATTGCCCCGCCAAATCCTGCAGACCCGATCTTAGCAAAAAGATTGGCGGATCCAAAAGCCCAATTGCAGGCATACTTTGAAGGTTCATACAAGCCTAAACGGAGACCCCCATAAAGAACAGACCTTGTCAATGCCGGTGTCAATCCCAGATACAAAAACCTCGGTCCTTCCTTTTTAAAAGTATGGAGAAATAACCGTCCCTGCACATCAAATCTTTATCACATTCAGCGCTGATTAATTGGATCAAGATATGCAAAAAGTAGTGGGGAAAATACCATTCCAGTGAGAGGACCTTTCTGACCAACAAGTTGCATTTGCAACCTAACTTTAAGAACATCTGCATCCCACAAGTTGAGATAAATTAAAAATCTTTGCTGCCTCTTGATGCCGAGAAATTTTCGAGTGTGACGGTCACACATGGTACTAATTCACTCATGTTCATAGCATACAAACATATCAACCATGTCGTCCATTGTAACAAGGCGGGTTACTGTGGCTGTCACACTGAAAAATTTCTTCGATTTCTAAATCTTATCAAGTACCAAATCTTAATACCATAATCTCTACAAAACTCGGAACAATACGAAATCGATGCAGAACCAACCAAAACAGAATGTGAACAATCCATGAATCAAACCAAACAAAATACTAAATCATTCTTCTACAGCATTAAGGTGAAAAGGTGAAAAATTTACATTTGGAAGCTGTAAAAAAGTGAAAAGAGTAAATATTTTGGTCTCAGAAATACCGAGAGGATGAGTCACTGCCGTAGCCGCCGCAACAGAAAGCCCACTGGTGCCGAAATGATAGGCAACCTCGGACGGCGACACCGCCGACCAACTCTGCTTCTCATTCTTTGCTTTCATCCTCCCTGAATATTTCAATCAAAACATTACAAAAATTACAAAAAACCAAGCAAAGATCTTTATTCGGGGACTCCGAGGATTCAGAAATGTTTGGGATCCGAGGAAATTGAAGCTTTTGACTAAAAACCTTATATTATTTTGGCTGTTCAGCTTCCATTTTCATGAAAACAAAACACAGAAATGCATTCTGTGATTTTCTTTTCCTCAGTTTTCTCGGGAAACAAACAGAAAATTAAGGTAGAGGAGGTAGCGGAACCTGAAAGCCAGAGTTTTCGGGAGCGGATTTTGCCGTCCGTTCCGACTTTCGAGGTTTGACCTGCGGTTTGCTTATGTCGAAACGGGAAAGACGCTGTAGGATGTGGAAACGACGCGTCGGATTAACAAGATTCTTCCTCTTTAACCCAATAAACGACATCCCTCTTTAAGAATGAGGGAAAGGGATCTTCTCCGATCCCTTTCATCGAGTCCACTTATACGGATCATTGAAATTTGATTTAAAAGTTAAAATTATTATAATTTTTAAATGAGCCGTATGTTTGTAGCCGTTGGATCAAATTTCAATGGCCCGGATGAGTGGACTTGGTGGAAGGAATCCGGAGATGATCCATTTTCAAGAATGAGGATCCTCTTTGCGACCATTTCGGAGATACGTCCGTTGATTGTACATCGTGCTGTCAGAAATTATCGTAATTTTTTAATTTAAAATTGAATATAAACAATACATGACGAAAACTGACCACACAATATACGATGAACGAATGTAATTAGAGAATCCTCATTCCCACTTTGATTTTAAGTGTGTGAAATTTTTATTTTTGTTTCTAAAATTGGAGGAAAGAGAAAGAGAGTGAGAAAGAACGTGAAACTAGGAAGAGAGAGAACATGAAATATGGTGGGCTTTGGCCTAAATGTTCGAATTAGTAGACCACCAATCTATTAAGTTAGGCCTAAAGCCCACCAAGTCCAGAACCTTCAATTCATTATTCTCCCAGCAGCATTGGCGGGTAGCTAGAAGCGTCTTCTGTCTTTCAGTCCCCCTAGGGTTTTTGGATTACTTCTGTTTCAGTATATCCCCAATTCCCAAACCCTAATTCCAGCGATTCAGAGCAATGCCCAGGTATCCAATTTATCTCATTCATTCAATATTTTACGATTCGTATCCCACTTTTATGAAATTTTTAATTTTTCATCGATTTCTTGTTCCAATTTTTCAGGTATTACTGTGATTACTGCGATACTTACTTGACCCACGATTCGGTAACTTATCTCTGTTATAATTTTTTTAGTTCTCGGATCGTATTTTCGATTATGTTTTTGTTTTTGTTTTCTGTTAGAGATTTCGATTAGGAACTGTTATTAACACTTAAAAAATCTCACTGTGCATTTCAAAACTTCTACATTTAGGAAGAAACTTACACTTATGAGGATCGAGGAGTGCATAATGAGATTTTTGGAGTGCCAATAACAGTTCTCTTTCGATTTTGCTTGATAATTTTGTTGCTAAATTTCAAGAGTTTAATCACATTGATAAGAAAAAAAAATTGGGATTTTATATTGGGTTAAACTTGCCACGGTAAATTAGTGAAATTGTGATCGTCTCGGTTACTGACAAGATTTCTTTTTCATATTTTTTCAGCCTTCGGTGAGAAAGCAACACAATGCTGGTTATAAACACAAGGTATTATTGGCTTATTTTGTGGTTTTGTGTGTTAGAGTAAGTTACCGCTTCTTTTTGGCCTTCCCTTTTGCTGATTTTGTGTCTGACTTCAGGCGAACGTGCGGGAGTACTATCAGCAATTTGAGCAGGAACAAACCCAAAGTTTGATTGACCAAAGGGTCAAGGAGCACCTTGGCAATTCTGCAGCTTACGGTGGTCAGCCTTACGGGCAAATTGGCGCCGCTTACAATCAACATCTAATGTCTCAGCCCCGTCTTCCTGGCATGCCACAAATGCTCCCCGGGATTAGGCCACCTGTTTTGCCAAGACCTCCTATACTTAATGCTCCGGGTAATCAGGAATGTTTATTCTAAAATCTTTATTTTTTGTTGGCATTCCGTTGTATGGCTGTTTATGTAATTTATTTGTGAACGTTTCTTTGCATGTTGACGTATAGAGTTTTTCGCTGCTTGACCAAACCGATGTTTGCATTATTGTTCTGGAATTTTTCATTCTGGGTGTCTGGTATATCGAATTCTGTTCTTATCAACTTGCTGTGTTGCTAATAATGCTACCGATTTTTTATGAGACTACTGCTACTAGAAGGCAGAGAAAATGGAAGGCGTATTTCTTGCTTGGTTAATTATTGTCCTTTAGTCTTCTGCATGATGTGATCTTTTTTTTTTTAATTTTTCTATGTTATCAATTAGCATTCCTTTTGTCCATGGCTATGGACATTAGCGCTGGTGTGTCACCCTGGTATGCAGCTATATTCTAGATCCATTAGCTGCTATATTGTATTGATTATTTTTTTTTTCTGGTCAGACCCGTTGGCCACAGAATGTTACTATCTAATACTAATGATATATAATTTTTTTTTTCTTGGTGGTGGTAGGTTACAGCTCTGCTCCACACATGATCCCGATGATGGCTCCGCCTGGTGCTCCCGGCATGCCTGGTCAATTAAGTGCTCCCATGAGGCCTCCTCCCGCTTTGAATCCTCCACCAGCAGTTCCTGGCAGCACAGCACCAAATGCTTCAAATGGCCCCCCTCCTATGGCTGCACCTCCGATGTATCAACCCAATCCAACAGCACCAACAAGTGGAGGCTATGAAAGTTTCAATCCGAATACTCAGCCTCCTGATTCTAGTCAGTAATGTGGTTAAATCGGTAAGTATTATTTCGATACTTAGGAAAAATGAAACATCTTTCACCAATGTGTTAGACATTTAAGTATTACAAGCATGTGAAGTTCATGATGTATGCACGATGTTTTAACAAAATGCGGTGTAGAGTATTGGAGTGTATGCATATTGTCTAGAATTTGGTTTTAGAAATTGTTATTTTTTCCCTCGGTGGCTTGTGGTTCTATGCTTGCACAAGTAATAAAAGAAGCCTATACACGGGGGATTAATCGATTGAAACTGTAGAGCACAAAGAAATTGTTTGATTTCTTTATAAGTTCACTCCTGAACCGAAAGAACAGAAAAGCCTTTCTTTTTCATCGACTATTACATTTTGATGATTGGGATTCCTGGTTTTCTCATTGGACTTTCACGGTATTTCTCGTTCCAGGCAGTCAATAGTAACCCGGAAAATGACTCATGTTGCAGCACCTTCATCGGAGAAGTCTTCTGCCATAACTTGGTCAGATGGGGCTTTCATCATGTGATGCAAACCAGGAGCTTGTCCTTTGTTATGAAAAGGTTGTGCAATTTAACATTTTTGTAGACCCCTTGTATGATTGTATCCTCTTTAAACTTGCACATCTTATTTGAACTACTTGTATTTATAAGCGCGATTTGTCGAAAATGTACTCCCTGAACTTGTAATAATACTATTATTCGTATAGTTCCTTCCCACGTTTAACCGTTTATAAGAGAACGACGATAAAAGTATCAATTCCTGGCCTAAATTCTGTTCAAAACAAGGATTACCAAACAACTAGAGCTAATCACAAACTACCGTTCAAATCGCCACGGAAATCCAAAAAAGTCCGAACCCTACACCCCCAAAGGGTTCATAATCTGGTAAAGTTTCGAACGAAAATGGCGAAAGATTACTATTAATGCTAATCCATTAGTTCCAGCTCGAAGTTTGCCCTTAGTTGTCTCGGAGTTAGCTGCTTGTTACAGAGTTTTCTTCATCACATGGAAGGGCCCAAGGCCGGAGGACCAACTCCTCTTGACGGCAGTTGTGAAGAGCCGAGGTCTGCGAAGCAAAGTACTGGAGAAACAAGGACTCGATAGACTAATTTCCCATAAACTATGCATCGCGTAATCATAATCACAAGACTTTTTAGCCAAAATGGTCCTGAAGATTTCCATAATTCATTACTTTGGTCCTTGAAATTTAAAATCAATAAAAGTGGTCATTGAGTTTGTCTATTATCAATAATTTTGATCATTCCTTGAAAAATTAAGGATCAAATGACAAAAATACCCTCGATTTAATAAACAACGGGCCAAAATGATTTGACAAAAATTGAGGATGATTTTGTCATTTTATCTTTATTTAATGGAGATTTTTCAAGAAATAACCAAAATGATTGATGGTGGTAGGGACCACTTCTATTGATTTCAAATCTCAAAAACCAAACTGAGGAGTTATGCAAATCTCATGGACCATTTTGGCTAAAAAGCCTAATCACACACAACCATTCGAACTTGAGCGAGTAAGATAAACGCACCGTCCTGACCAACGTGCCCTAAACTATGTGCAAGTGGCAGATTTAAGTAATTGGTTTGGTATTAAAGCAAATGGTTTGGTATTAAAACAAATAAAATTGAGGACCAGTACCATCTGGGCATTTGGTCTAGTGGTATGATTCTCGCTTAGGGTGCGAGAGGTCCCGAGTTCAATTCTCGGAATGCCCCTTTGTCCTTAACATTTTTCCTTTTTATTTAGCTGAATCAAAAGGACACAAATACCCCCGCCAGCCTATATACTGTAACTGGGATCCTTTTTATGACTCTCTATCTATCTCACTTGATCCACATTTTTCATATGATTTCACAATCCAAGCGTTGCAGACAAGTTCAGAAGGAAGATTGGACCATGCATCATGCATGGCCGTTTTTTGCCACAATACTTACTTACAAGTTCACAGAATAAACACAGCCTATATCTCCCTCGTGAAGAAACTTCACTGTTGTTTTACAGATTCCAATCAAGCACCTACACCATAAATAATTACCTGTTATTTCTTCTTAGCTCTGATGTATACCTTTCCACTTGAGCTAACCCGAAGCGTTATTAACACGAGAATTGATAATATGTATAACGTTTATTCTATATTCTTGTATAATAATGATAAGGTGGCATATTATTTTATTTATCACTCAATTTTGATCGTTTGCACAAAATTTGTTACAAATAACTAAGAAAGATAATTCTATGGCAATCTTCAACAAAACCTTAACCGAATGCGTCTGTTTTTCGAGTAAAGATTTGTGGGTGTTTGATATGCATGATTTGGACATGTTTACTTACTACGAGAAGGGATATAGATATGAAGGAGGTTGAATATTGACTGTGACGAACAAACGAATCCAAACTACAATATTATTCTATCAATTTGAATCAAATAAACAAGAGCCAAGACGCCTATAAGCTTAGGACTACCTTGTGACTGCTTATCTTCGTAGTGTTACAAAACATTATATTTATAAAGAACAAACATAACCCTAATACTAAGAAGCTGGACTCAAAACTAAACTACTTAGATAATAAAATATCTAAAAATACTAAGGGCCTGTTTGGTATCCTATTTGAAATTTTTTATCATTTCTCAAAACATTTCTTAAGAACATTTCTTAAAAACAATTTTCTTTAAGACACTCAAAAACTTGATTAGTTTGCAACTAGACAAAGAGATCTAAAAAGAGGGATCACAGGAGAGGGAGAAAGAGGAGGAGGAGGAAAGAAAGTAAGAGAAGATTGAAGGAAAAAGAAAGAAGAGAGAGGATCGGATGAGATAGAGAGGAAGAAGAGTGAGAGAAAGAACTGAGAGAATGAAGAGATCGATTGGAGGAGAGACGAAAAAGGTTAAAAAAAAAAAAAAAAAAGAGGAGAGAAAATGAAGAAAAGAGAGATAGATTTGGAGTGAGAGGGAAGGAGGGAGAGAAAAGAAAGAAGTGAGTTTAAGTTTAAAAACTCTAAAAACTCACTTTTTATGTTTTTAGAGAAGGGAATTGTTATTAGCACTCCAAAAAATCTCATTCTACACTCCTCACAAGTGTTATTTTCTTTCTAATTATAGTAAGTTTGGAGTGCAAAATTAGATTTTTGGAGTGCCAATAACAATTCCCTTAGAGAATAGACTATATTTTTGAGTTAGTCTTAAGTTCAGTTTTTGAAAATATTCCTACCAAACAAGTTTTTAAGGCCTAAAACTTGAAAATTGTTTTTGAGTTTAAAAAGTTGGATTCATATAGAGTACCAACATAGCCCTAATATTTTCCTACAAAGTATTGGGTGTGTATGGGATAATCAAGTTAATCAACCCCCTTGGATATTTCATTCTTAGAATTTTTTAGGTGTGAGAAGGTATGGAATATTCAAAATTAATGCGGACCGCTTATTTTTCATTCGATTACTTCAGAAAACACATAAATGGTAATCATGTTCTTTTAAAATCTTTGATTTATTGTAAACACAAGACTGAGAATAATACTTTTCTTATAAATTCATTACTTTTTTTTTCTTCTTTCGAACAAAAGATATTATCTATATTAAGAAAGTAGAAAGTAGGTTAAGTGACACTTCGATCCGGAATGCCCACTTGGGCTTCGAGTGTAGTTGTGCTGGCTGACACCAAGAGAGTGACTAAGCCATAAAGTGTAATGATATGGAAAATGTGAGTAAATTTAAATCTAAAAGTGCCTAAGTATAAGAGTGCGTTAGTGAGCGAGAATGAACCCATTTCACACCTGATGTCAGAGCATAAGTACAGTAGAGTAGATTGAGAATTATACCATCAAAAGTAGTCTCTGATATCACGTTTGCCAGAAATCCTCGTCTGCACGAACACTACCACTAAATCTTGGAGGGACGAAAAACAAGGGTGAGTAAAGAGAGACCCAGATTTCTGGGAGAATGAGATATGGGATAGGGAAAGAGTGGGGTGTGGGCCCATGTGGCTCACAAAAAAACACACAAAATATCTCCCAACATGAAATTACCAAATTGCCCTTCACATTCGTAAGTTCATAAAATCTTCACCGTAGCTCCAAATTTGATTCCGCTTGCGCCAACGCGATCGTCTCGTCCAGTACTACACAAATACGTTAAAAGAATGGGCCGTACATCTCTTAAAACAATGGTCAACAAAAGTCAACAATCCTCTCCTTAAGGGGCATTTTGGTAAATTCACATTTTAAAATTTTATAATATCTTAAAATTAGGGACGAGTTATTACATTAGGCCTCATAATAGACTAGCAATCATATAGTTCAAATTCGCTTTTGACGAGGATTGAACCTAAAACCTCTTACTAGCGAAGAAGAATATCATTAAACCATAATACTAAATGACACAAAAAGCTCTCTTGCTTACAAATGTATTACTTAACTCCATTTCTTATAAGTAAATATGCGCTCAGAATAAACTTTTGAGTGCAGAAACAACAAAGAAAATACAATGAAATTTTTTATAATAATCATATTTCAAAGTTTTATCCCAAAAACAAAGAAACAAAATGCATGTGTCACATTCACATGAAACGCCGCTATTGGACCACTTCTGCACATGCGCACCAATCCATTAGAATGCTTTGCTTTTCTTGAGTCTTCCTTACGTTCATGACTCGTCCACTTTTCGTTCCAACCACAACCAAAAGCATATAAAATCAACAGCTGGCCATGACTTGAAGAAAGGTAGAAATTCAGTGAAAGGAAGAAGTTGAACCAGTTGATCTCAAAGTATCACACAAACCCCATCTTAATTCTTCAAGAAAAAAAAAATATGCTCAGGGTTGCTTTCAGGTAAGCTTCTCTTCCCTTTTCTTTATAAATTCGAGCGATATTTTAATTAATCTAATCTTTATCATGGAGACGGAATTCAAGTTGAAGTGTAAACCAAGTGCATACTGCTCTAGCCATCTTGACGGCATTCGGATTCCCAAAATTACTACCGTTTATCCCTCCTTTCTTTAACTGTTGATTTTTCTTCTTTTGTGGCTGAGGTTTTCTCCTTCCATTGAATGAAATTTGGTGTGCTGGATTTATGTTCCTAACTGTTTGAAGTTTGAAAAGGAAAAATGTCACCATTTCAAGAGCTCCTTTGGCTTCTCCGACCTTCAAGATGGGATTTTCATCCCAGCCTGCAAGGTAGGCAAAAAATCGAGTAGGTATTCGGAAATATTCGGATGAATTATTCGAATTCCCGAATACCCCTTTTTCGATTTCGATTACATTTCTCGTATGCATGCCCTTCTGTTGATTTGGTTCTACGTGTGACATAGCAGACTTGAAGGCAAAGTGGCGCTGATTACCGGAGCAGCAAGCGGCATAGGGAAGGCAACCGCGTCGAAGTTCGTCAGCAATGGCGCCAAAGTTGTCATTGCAGATATCCAACAGCAGCTCGGGCAGCTCACAGCAAAAGAGCTCGGTCCAAACGCGACATTCATTGCCTGCGATGTCACGAAAGAGTCCGACATTTCCAACGCCATTGATTTCACCATCTCCGAACATAGACAGCTTGACATTATGTACAGCAATGCAGGGGTGCCCTGCTACACTCCCCCGAGCATTGTGGACCTCGATCTTACAGCATTCGACCGCATCATGAGCATCAACGTGCGAGGAGTCGTGGCAGGAATCAAGCATGCATCGCGAGTGATGATCCCGCGCAAATCTGGCTCCATTCTTTGCACAGCTAGCGTGACGGGACTGATGGGAGGACTAGCACAGCACACATACTCCGTGTCCAAGTCTGCCGTCATTGGCATTGTCAAGTCCGTGGCTGCAGAGCTATGCAAGCATGGAATCCGAGTCAATTCCATATCGCCATTTGCGATTCCAACCCCGTTTGTGATCGAGGAAATGACTCAAATTTTCCCGGGGATTGATAGACAACGGCTGATAGAACTAACGCACAACGCAGGCGTCTTGGCTGGCGCAAAATGTGAACCCAACGATGTCGCCAACGCTGCACTTTACCTAGCTTCCGACGAGGCTAAATATGTCAGTGGCCATAATTTAGTTGTGGATGGAGGTTTTACATCTTTCAAGAATTTGGAACTTCCTGCACCCGATCAGGTGCATTAAGCCTTCATCCATTGTCACTACTTATTTGCAAGGAGATACACATATATTCATTATATCGAAGATTCTCTCTGCAGGACGTCCGTTCTTTACAGAAAACTTACTGCTTAAAAGGTGGACGTTTCGAGAGAACATATACTACCACATAGGAAATGCAGGACAAGATAAATTTTGAAAACCTTGAACTGGACCGAGTGACAATTACGCCTGCTCTATCCGTTGGGAAATCAAATTCACGGCGGCGTTCGCTGATGAGAACGCGCCGTGGAAGCTTTCCTGGTACGAAATGGATTCCAATTCTATGGCCATCTTCAACAAAATCTCACCCAAATCCGTCTGTTTTTCAAGTAGAGATTTGTAGAACGATTGAGCAGCAATCTTGCTGATTTCGACATTGGTGGATTCCGGGCAGTACTCATCGTCCAACCACTTGTGCAAAGTAACCCTCAGCCACTCTGATTCCTGAATTTTCATTCATGTAAATAAAATGGTTAGCACACATAAGTCCCACCAAACTCACTTTCATAGAAAAAATACTTAAAAGTTCCGTTTTGAATCAAAACCATGTATCCAACAATTATTGCACTTGATTATGGGCTCGTTTAGAAAATTAGAAATGTTTTTAAAATGATTGAAAACGTTTTTGGTTCAGCGCTTCATAAAGCACTTCAAGTTCTTTTTCATGACTCCTTTGCATTTTTGCTAATAATTGTTTAAAAGAAACGCTTTTATCAAAAGCGTTTTCAATCATTTTAAAAGTATTTTCAAACGAATCATATTATTATAAGACTGCGCACCAATAGGTGAATAGTTTCTCGCCAACATCATCACTTGTCAGGAAAGTAAACAAACTAATGCGCGCTTGGAGAGCATGCTTACAATCGTTATTGCACCTGACTGTTATTATTCTCGACTATTGCACTTGCACTACTAGGTGAAGAATTTCTCGCTTTGTCATGAGACTAAACTAATTGAACGATAAATTAGAAGGTACCAAACACTTAAAAAATAGGAAGTAGTACCTCCAAGGCCTTGGAGGGGGATCAACCAATGTTGTGGGACCACAAGGTCTTGAACTTGGGCATCTGGGTCTTCATTGCTCTGTGGGTTTGAAGAAAACTGAGATCTTACAGCAGTTTGGGGCTTCCGGGTATCATTCCGCAGGCAAATCAGGTGTCGTGGAACCCGGAAATTGAGCGCAGGCGTAGCGACATTGACTAGAGCGGAGATTTTCGGGCAAGAGGTGGGAGGAGGGAGTTTTGGAAGGGTTGTGATTGGTCGGACTGGAGACAGAGATTTCATGGTTTTAGATTGGGGGGGAGTTTTCTTTCCTCCTTTTGTGTTGGATTTTGTCTGGTGAGAAAATGGTTGGTGGCGGTAAACTTTGTAACGTTTTGATCCCTTTTGGATTATGGTCGGGCCGGTCGGCCCAATCCGGCCCCAATATGTTAAATAACCGATTATAGTATGAACACCTACCCAGTACAAATATTTGAAATATCATAACTTGAAATCAATATCATTTCTCAGTTCTCACTGACACATTTGGGGAATTGGGTCGACTTCTACCTCGAACTTGTAAAGAACTGTCAATTTCTTTCCTAACTTTAATTTTAACCGATTATCCTCTTAATATTTTATAATTGGCTAATTTCTTCCTTGAATTTTTATTATTGGGCAATTTCCCTCCTGAACTTTAGCTTCCACCGAAACCCTAAAATTCAGACAAAAAGTGTACAGAGTGAACTAGTGAAAGAGAAGGAAAAAAAAACAATATGTTGTCCACATTAGGGATAAAATTACCCTTTTGCAATTATAAAATTAAACTTCAAGGGCAAAATTGGTTTATTATAAAAATTTAGAGGGGGTAAGTGTTGGCAAATTATAAAAGTTCAGGAGAGTAATTGGTTAAAATTAAAGTTCATGGGAGAAGTAAACAAATACCTCTTAAAAAAATTTAGGTAAATAAAAGTAAAAACTGAAGGTGCACATGCAGTAAAAAATAACGATCATCCAATGGTAAAATATGGTACTTCTGATTATTCAAAGACTACTGTGCCTAGTTCCACAGTTGTTCTGAGCATTTACCTGGAACTTTTTCATCACAACAATCTTAGGCATTCTTCAAACAGCAAAAAACTACAGTTTTAAGCTTTCGGTTTAACTTAAACAATATGCATACTGATACTGCATAGCTACACATGAACAGTAAATTGTCACGGCTGCATTGGCATACATACCGCAAAGCGCACATCGATGTTTCAAGCAGACATGTTTGTCGATACCATGTCTCTCTCTCACGCGTGCACACTCTGATATGAACAGATAAACACATGTGACCTCTTAGCGAAGACTTAGACGGATACTGCATTTGGGGAGTCTGGATTCAGTATTTCATTTTTTGGACAGATAAACAATCGCTGCGCCATGGACTGGAATTCGCTGCATATGTAGCGTGATTATGAAATCAGTAACAGATCAGACTGTAAAGCACAACAGATATAGCAAACTTTAAGTCACAGCATGAGTTCTAGTTCTTAACTGCCACGGGTAATCTCCTATCAACATCCTGTCTCCTTCATCATCCATGTAGGTTACCTGGCATCCACTGTTTCCATCGATCAGGCTTCCTTTGAAATCGAACATCTGGTCAAGCTCACAAATGAGTTCGTTGTACCCATCAAAGCACGTGAGGTCAATTGATCTTCCAACAGGAGCTCCATATTTGAGCACCTGAAAGAGCATCGAAATCTTGGCAAGATTAGCTAGCCTTCAGCAATCAACTCCACCCTATGTGGATGGTTGCTTGTTAAGTAAACATACAAATACATCTTAAGTGCAATCACCAAAGTATAATTTGACTGAATAATTTAGAATGTGAAACAATAAATACAATTCAATTAGCTTAATTTTTTCTTCAATTTGTTTGGAAAGACAACTGAGAAGAAGTTCTACACATAATTTTACCTTTATGCAACTCCTGTTATTGATGGAGCTACATTTCTTGCATTGTTTCTCAGAACAAACGCCAGAGATACTCTTCGATGTCTCTGACAGCTGGACTGTTTCAGAAACACTTGAATGAGATATTGGAGGAATAGAACAAGGACTACAAAGTTCAATAGAATTGGCAACTTGTGGTGAAGGGAGCTCTGGGTGACTGGTAACTATATTGACTCCAAAAAGCATTGTACTCTTTTGTTCGACAAGTGGCGATTGAGTCTCACTCCTCAGTTCGAAGGCTCTCAATTTCTGGGACCCCGAGGAGCTGATATTTGGAACTGACATGCTTCTTTTATACGTGCCACTGTCAAAAACTCCAAAACCAAACATTGGTGGCCATTGGTTAGTAAGGCTTGGAGCTTTTGGATAGCCAGGACATTGGTAAAATGGGTCGTGCATTGGAACGTTGAGATTGTTTTCCAATCCCAAATCTGTGTAGTCCCAGTCAGGATTTGGGGGTGGGATGAACTGTGGCAGTAATAGCTGTTTTGGTGTAACTGGTTCATGAGCAGGTGGATCACTAGTTTCTTGACCTTGAAAGACCTTCTTTTGTCTTGGAGGTGTGGACACAACTGAAATCGCCAATGAACCTAATAAGAGAAAAAGAGATAAGTTGATGAATCCTGAGCTAAATTCCATTAAAACTGAATTGAAGAATGAAGCATTTCTGAAATCTAGACAAACTTTCCACAAAGAGATATATGAGAGTTACTGACCTTTCCTGCCCAAGCTAGAAACACCAGGTGATGGCGGATCAGGTAAATGTGCCCTCTTCTTAGGTTGGAGAGGTATGATATTCCAAGGAGAAAGCCTTTCGGAATGCAAGCATGTATCTGATGTAGTATCCAATCGCACCTGGAAGGACACATCAAACAATGGAATAACCAGAAAAAGATGCTGAGAGAGAGTTATAAGTTTCAGATTGAAATGGACAGAAAATGGAACTTGGGTACCTTCAGACACCTCCATTCTGAACTGGGCCACATCAAGCAATCGTTATCTTCGATATCTATTATAGTACCTTCCAACCTGTTTCATACAATAACATGTTCGGTCAAAAGATCACGGCTGTTTAATGGGGGAAATGTAGATATATTATCAAGAATGTCTACTGTAACTTTTATCCGTCCATTCTTGCATTCGCAAGTCATGGCTTGATTACCTCTTCTTCTCTGCACATTCTTCACCTTCGGAATACATTCTGAATCTCATTCCAATGGCATAGTCATTTTCGGCTGATTTCATGTATTGATCAAAAGGAATTATGAAAGCAGCAGGACTCGTCCTGCAGATATATGAAAAGATTCATGCTTAAAGCCTAAGAGAATGTGTGTACTAGCATACCAAATGATACTTCTACACATTCAGGGTAAAAATATAGGATCAAATAGCTTACCATGGGTGGTAGTACACAGTAAACATGGTACCAGTAGAAATGGCATGGAAAGCGCTGGCAAGTATGCCATGTTGCATGCTGTGGCCAGAAATGAGAGAAGTTGATGCAGTGTCTTGTGTTTTGGTCGCACGGCGTATGCCAACACACAGTTCTCCATTTTCTCCTCTGTGAAGCAAGAATTACTTTCATTAGGTAACTGGAACTGAAGACCAATAACTAAAAGGAAATTCCTATAGATTAATTAATTAACCTTTCAACAGACAGAGAGAAAGAGAAAGAGAGAGAGAGAGAGAGAGAGAGAGAGAGAGAGAGAGCATACCTTGCAAAGATACATGCATCCCCAGCAACAAGTCTTTTTGTAGTCACAAACGTACTCCATCCACTAGTAAGCAAGTGCCTCTTTGGCTGACCTACATTATGGGGCATGCATAGTTTAAGAGTAGTCAGTCTTATATGATGAATCCAGTGAAGAAGGTTAAGCGGAAAACATGCACGAGTAGTAAACCACATTCCAAAAACCCAAGAAGTTAATCAGGTAAAAAAATATAGTAACTGCAAAGGCGTTTACATGGGCAGAAACTTGTTTGTAGGTTGGACTATTGTGTATTACATAGAATCAGCCAACCATGGAAATTGCATTTTTTTTCCCTTGGCGTGATGAGAGGAATTTCTAAATTTTTTAAAGCAACATCAGTTCAATAACAACCAAACTTGTGCATTTGATTTCCAGTTTTATAAGAAGTACTAATAATTACACAAGTTAGTTTCACAGACGGATGTTTAAGAGCGTCTGAATTTAAAGATACCTCGAAATATATGGCGAAAGCACCATTCATATCCCTGCAAGTCCTTTGCTACCAGATCTTGAACCGGTGGTTGCTGAGACATGTCCTGCAAAAACATTTGTAACAAGTGGATCAACTAGTAGCAAAGATTGAATTGGTTACTTTATTTCTAATCAGATGTGTTACGTGTATCATATAATTTCAAATGGGTGTTATTTAGATGGAAAGACAAGGATACCGACCAGAGGTGGAAGGCACTCATCAGCTTGTCGTTTGGGAACAGAGAATCCACCGTGGGTGCTTGTGTCTGACGGGGTTAGTATCTTTCTAAAGTAGCGTGTACTGGTTCGCCGAGGCAAGGGTGGGGTATTTTCTTCCTCTCCCCTTACCTGGTCTTCCTGCAATGTGCCAGAACAGTACATATATGTTATACATTCAAAATGTCAAAGGAAGAAGTTGTAAAGCGGATAAATAATGTAAATCTCCAACGAGGCCCTAAATAAAGTCATCTGAGCACTCATTAGCTAACCTCGGTCACAGGAAGCAAGGTGATTTGAGCATACACTTCGTCTGTGTGAGCTTCAGCCTGCAAATGAATCATGTTATCGTTCGACAACAACCAACTTCAGATCAATCATGAGCCGTTGAATTTTCAATTGCACACTTTGTTAAACACATGAAGAGAGAAATAGTTTACCTTTAGCTGAACACATACAACATTGCAGAGGATCTTGGAAGGCAAATTGTATCTTGGCATGTCCATTTTACCGTCTTGGTTTGCATATGCCTCCACCTGTTCTAGATCAACAAGCAAACATGTCATCTATTTGGAGCTCCTCATTCGAAAATTCGAAAGGATTGATTGAAATTTTATAATTCGTAACGAAACTGTAATGATGGGAACGAAGCTTGTGTACATTAGAGAAACGGTATACTAGCATAGTAACATCCGGGTTGCGTGAAAGTTTTTCACCATTGACTGGGGAAAAACAGAGTAAGGGACAATCGAGCTGCCACAAAAGAAAGGTGGAAAGGGTCACGGGAGAAGAAAAGAACCTGTTCCATGTGACCTTGAAGGAAGTAGAAAACCTTCTCGCCAGGGCGGGGAACGTACACATTTGCCCCGGCACACGCATGCCATAGTTGATGGTACAAATCATCTTTCTCACCTAACATCAAAATTCAAATCACATTCTGGTTCAACGGAAAAATCATAACAACGAATAAATAAATAAAAGTTAATATATATATATATATAATAAAAAGAAAATGGCTTAATTCGATTAATAGTCTCGTGATAATAGAGTAGTCGAAAGATAGTATAGTGGTAAAAAGTTAGGATTTAAACCCATATGGAGCCTCACCTGCTAACAATTAACGTATAGTTCCGTTTTAGCCTCACATGTGAGGTAAACGTGCAAAAAATTAGCGGATAGTTGACGGAACTTTAATTTTGAACCTAAATCCTAACCAACTTCGCAACAAAATTTAAATCCCAACTTTCTTAC